TGCAGCTCTCAGTCTGCAGAACCCGTTGTCATCTCTGTAAAAAAAAGGATGCAAGTAACTTAACTCGCGTTCCGTCAGAGAGTTTGCTAATGAAGTCAAACTTAGCGTATAAGCGGAGCTGTAGCAGAATTCGGCCAACGGGCATGTTCACTGAACTCCCCTGCTTCCGTTAAACTGCTGGTAATACCGAACCCGGCGTATCCGATCAGAGGGCGTGATTGGTCTCGCTGTTAGGCACCTTAAGCAGGTACAACAAAATACTGGAAAGTTCTGGCCCTGAATGCCGCAGGATTTGGGCACAGTTGTTGTTGTTGTTGCGGTCTGAGCAGCCGGAGTCACCCGTCAGTATCCTATGCCATTTCATCACTTCTTCCATCTACACGGATTAAACTGCAGCTCCGCCTAACGCCTGTGATGACGTTTTGCAACCGGGTAGAGTATGCTAATTATAGGCACAACGCACACGGCCAGAATCCCAGTTAGTTACCCGCGCGCGCGCGCGGACGGAAGCTGTGCGATTTAGTCGAGATTCGCCTTGTAACGCTCCCAGGGGAGTCTAGTCAGGCCTGAGCAACTACCCAGTCGGAATGCCACGATAGGCGCAGGCAGAAGGTTAACATTTGTCTTGGTTAACATGCGCCGTCAGTGACACCTGAGGGATAGTCGTTCCCAGTCGGTCTCTCGCTCTGTTCGATGAGCCCACGGAAGTGGAAGGTGAAATCGCCTAAGAAAGTAATTTCTGTTGTGGTTTCAGTTCCTGCCCGTTTAGTACTGTCCCTTGCATAAAAATAGGGACCGAAATGTCAGCAGATACTTACCTGCGCGTTGATGAGGATGACGATGATGCTAGTTCAACCATCGATTTTGATTAGATGTACCATATGCAGGGAAGGAGACTTACGGCAGGGGGTTTGTTTTAAGTGAATTTGGACGGTGCGCACTGTCTACCGCACTCTTCCCCTTCACCCGCCTGAGCCGGTGTCATGACACAGTCAAGATGACTGGATGGCGGTATCCAGTGTTGGCTGCTCTCTCCAACACAGGCCAGAACACTACCTCAAGGTCATACAACGTCACGGTGAGCGCTTTCCGATTCTCTAACCTGCAGAAGTTTGACCGACCTCCACTCTCTCTCAGGCATGACTGAATGTAGTCAATACTGTAGCCCTGGCTTCGCCAGTGGCCACTGATGCCTGAGACAGTAACTCAGAGTTCCATGCACAGAAGAATCCCTCCCACAGGCTTGCCTTTCCCAACCACCCGGAATTTTACCTGATGATTGTGATGATTCTGAGAACAGCCGTTGCTAAGACGCTAAAAATATATTCAAGAACACCGAGGTGGAATCGGGCGCAAGGCCGCCCCGCCTATGCCTGCCACCACAATGTGCGGGAGTTACGCCGCATCTTCCGCACTCCCACTTCTCTCGCTCACCTGAAGTCGGTGCCACGAAGACTCAGGCGGGATCGAGTGCAAGGCTGCCCCACCGCAATGCGTGTGAGTGAGTTTTAAGTAATAAGAGGCTTCGCAGCGACGGAAGCCCAAAGGTTAAGTCATATGCGTACGCAGTGCTTGTACTGCGTGTTAGGCGGACTGAAAGCGATGACCCGCTTTGCTGACGATCGGGGAAGGAGAGCAGCTGCACACTGTTAGAAGCATGTACAACAAACAACCGGATTTAAGCTATTAGATATGAATGAGTCTTGATTGGCCAGGAGTTTCGTCCATACACAGCCCTTGAGACCCGACTTTGATTGGTTCTTAGACTGGACACGGGATCCTGGTCGTCTGGGCGCATGGCCTCAAAGAGTTCGCGGAATTTACTCGGCGATTGGGTTTGGCAATGCAAATTGGTCCCAAGTCTACGATTACGTATATGGGATAAGTGGTCTCGTCCTAGTCAGTATGCACGTGCTCAGAGGCGGGTTACGTATCCTGATCACAGCAGTTGTATCATACGCACTTTAGGGGATTCAGTAAATCAGTTCTTTTTTGTCCAAACGCCCAGGACTCACCTAGATGTTTAAAACTTGCGTACGCAAATTAACCTATAGTTAATGTTATTGAGGGGTTAACATTAACTGGCACTTAACTTACGGGCCTACCAAGGGGGCAAAATAATTCCTTCGGCAGACATTCGATGACCTCCAATGCATTGGCTTGCATGTAAAGCAAGACAAGTGTGTTTATTACGCCCTTCAATATACTTTCTGGAGGCATTCCACATAACTTCTAGTGCAAAGCGAGCTACCACCAAACGGGTGCAGTATACGTGACAGAAGACCTAAATTTACCTCAGGAAAGACTCTGTTTTGCGGTGTTCGTTGACTATAAACGAAATTCAACCCTGAATTGATGCATGTAATGCTTTGACCGTCTGCCCCAAGCCCCCCGCTCCCGACTGACTGGTATGTGGGGACTTGCACTTCACTCTCCTTCCCCGCAGGTTGAGGGCCTTCCAATTTTTAGACCTGATTGCTTTGAACTCTGAAAGACACATTTCTGTGCGACTGGGGTGCCCATATAG